GCTTGGAGGTGGGATGTTCAGTCTTCTAGACTCCATTCGCGGTCGTCCTGCAGCGTTTGGCCAACGAACTCCGCCTAACCACACCATATTGAAAAAACATGATTCATGGCAGTCTTCTTACGAGTAGTAATGCGTGAACCCCCCACCCACGATACGTTGTGCCCTACAACCGCGCCTTATCGGCTCCTTCTTTCAGCAGCTGCTGCACTATGGCAGCATGGCCATTCTGGGCTGCATAGTACACGGCTGTCCGGCCTCAGCAGTTAGCCGCACCGGAGCCAATGACCCGCACCAATGCACCCTTCTTGCATTGCGCAGGCTGTACTCACTCAAGCGTAGCTTGGCGTAATATAACCATCCAACAGATCTTTTGTGCATCTGCATCCTTTTGCTCAATCCTTGCCGCTGGGTTCGGCGCCAAAACTATCTTGGCAGTCCTACCAAGAGCGTGCCAGGTGGATCAGGCGGTGTTGACACGTCCAGTGGTGTTACAGCTAAAAGGCAAAAGTCGATATAGTTTTTGTTCTTGAGCCTTGATCACAGTCGCACCACATGAGCGGGGACACCAGTGAGTTTGACACGGTCTCACCGGCAAACTGGAAGACTTGACTTGTTCTCCAACTTTGAGCTAGCTACCACCTCACAGGGTGGCATGACATCATTCCTATGTCCATTCAAAGCAGCTCAGATCGCCTTGTTGGCGCGGAATTCCAGCATCAGTTTCACGATCGGCTCACGGCCCTTGGCTGCAGCCAAGTGTAGCGCTGTCTGGCCTCAGGAGCTGACTGAGGCCTGAGGCAACATTTTATTCAGAATTCTACACTATACTATACAGTCATGCCGCCCGAAAGAGCGGACATAAATTGTCAAGGAAAAATGAGTTCGCTTGAAACTGATCACCTGTCGATGCCAGAACGCAAAAGCAATGCATGAATCATGACAGTGTTATCCTCAAAATGCTACTGTAGCAAAATCTCATCCAGGTCAACGCCCCACGGTTCAGCTGAAACAATCGATCAACTTTGGGGAACCGGGCATTGGTCTTCTTCAGAGGTGGTGGCTTCCTGCAAGAAACGCTGAGAGCTTCGAAAGCCCAGGAGTGATCCTCTCGCATCCGTTTCAATGAAACAAGGGGAAACCTGGCAATCTAAACAATGGAAGGGCTGGGTCAGGCGCGAGGGCGATCAAAACCTTTTCAAGAGCCCCGGGTTAATTAAAGCAACACCGCGGAGCATGAGCTCAGGACAGGAGCTCCTTGTCAGCCTGATTCTCGAGCAGCGTCTTTGTCACTGCCACGTGACCGCAGTCAGCTGCCAAAAGCAGGGCGGTGCGGCCTCAGACTCGCTGAGCATCTTGCTTTTTAAGCAAAAGCCATCGTTGTCATACATCGTGCGTCCATTCATCAAGTTGAGACTCCGGGCCAAACTTGTTCTGGGCCTCCTGGTGTGGAGTGCAAAAAACAATGGCAAAGGGATCCCTGCCTTTATCGGACTCATGGACGGCAGGTTCCTATAGTCGATCTAGTCGTATATCCCTCATGCCGTTCCAAACGTTGGGAAAATATGCAAAAGGCCACACCACACCACCCTAATGGCCGGCCACAGCAAAAAACACTCGGCAACAAATCCAACCCTGTGAGTGAGTCAAGCCCGATCCCCTCCTGGTTCGCCTTGTTCTCCAAAAGGATCTTGACGACCTTCTCATGGCCCTTGCGGGCCGCGCGGTGCAGTGACCTGTCGCCTTAGCTCTTCGGCAAGGACCGCCGACAACATGGGATCGCTAGGACCCACACCATAGTCGTCCGCGCACTCCTGTCAAAGAGATCGATTTGGAGTTGGAGGTCTCAACTCCGAGTTCTAAGAACATGGAATGGTATGATATAGCATGTTGCAGGGCAGGACACGCTCTGCAGAATGAATGAATATATATGTCAAATCAAATGAAACAGCTCGTCCGCCTGATTGAAATGCTTCAGCATCACCTGCATAATGGCATTCTGTCCGGACTCTGCTGCACAGTGCAGTGGCGACTCTCCTTGGCTGGAATCCCCTCACACAGCAAGCCATAAGGTCAAACAATAATTGATATGGAGCGGTGTCGGGTAGACCTATTCCACAGTTCCTTCTTTATGGAGCTAAATCTGAACAAGTACTGCGCGCATAATTGCTAGCTTGCCATCAGGTTTACTTCTTGGGTTTCAAGAGTTCACCAAACTTTGTGAAAAACACAACATGTGCTCAATTCTGGATATGTATGTAGACTATGTAGATTTCTTGGCTGAGTCAGGCCTCCTCTTGTCCAATGGTGCATGTGTGAAAGATTTGGGGCGATCCGCGTTGCGGATTTGCGAAGTGATCTTTGCCAAAGAAAACATTAGAAAACTCCGCCTCTCTGCACTATGTGGCAATGAATGCCTTCAAATCTAAGCATTGGCCCTGCTGAGACTCCCACCAAAAGCATTCTTGGCCTCCAACAGTTAAAAAAACAAAACCCCAAAAAGGGTGGAAACAAACAAACGAACAACTCAAGTGCTGGAGCACATCTGGAGCCTTGACCACCCCAGAGTCGAGCAGGAAGTTGATGATCTCTGCATGGCCCCCGGTGGCCGCCCAATGCAGGGCTGTGTCGCCTCAACTTCAGCTTTGCACCCAAATGGAGCTGCATTTCGACTTGAGCAAACGCAGAATGTAGATTGGGCGCGGGAAAACTTCTGGGCTGCAAACCATTCTTGGTGCGTTCCTCCTTCCAGCAAACACAGGGAGACGTGAGACGCAAGCACAAAGAGTACAGCCTACCTGCCCTACCTGCAAGGATGATGAAAACTTAGCTGTAGGTCAGCAGTTCACAGCTGTTCACAGTAACATCTGGCCTTGTTGGTGCCTTGGTGAAATAACTTCTTCATTTCGTCCACCTTTCCATCTCTTGCTGCCACGTGGATCGGCGCAAGACCTCGGATCTCGTTGAGATATCCTTGAGCCAAACACATGCAAATCATGCTTTTCAATGTCCATTTCAAACACCTCCGTGGTGCTTCCATGTCAGCCTGGTGTCCCTAAACACTTGGTGAGGTCAGGGCCTGCCCGCATGTCCTGTCGCTTTGGCTCTGGAAGGGAAGGCTTGACAGCCAGAAGTTTATAGTTCAAGCAACAAATAACTAGTCCTGTTCGGTCTGAAACTGAAGTTGGACAAGAATTGCATGTTTAAACTTGGACTCTTTTGGGTCAGCCTTTACTTTCTTCAGCTTTTCTTCAGCCTTCTCCTGGCTCGGGCACATGCAAGCACGTGCAACCGTAAAAGAAAACCTTGCATCCAACACTGCAACCGCAAAATTCGTGAGACTCTCAGCAAAAAGAAAACACAGTTTTCCCAGCAACAAAAAACGACGTGTGACATGTGTGTGTATCTCCACACCTTCTCCTCCGTGACCTTCAGGTCTTTCAGCTGCAGCTCTAGCTCCAGCTGTTCCACCTGAAGGTTCAGCTCGTCTTGCTCCGCCTCACCTCGCTCTGCCCGCACGCTTTGCTCCGCCTTCAGTTCCCCTAGGAACCTCTGCCGGAACTCGTGGATGTCCTCCATCTCCAGGGTGAAGCCTAACTTACTGCCTAACTTCTTCATGTAGGCAACTTCACCCCTTTGGGACACCCCGAGACCGGGCAGGCCTCTGTTTGCAGCCGTGCAGGCAATCCGCGGTGGCCATTCCACGTCCATGCCTTCGCCTTTCTGGGATGCCTTAAAGACAACCACCAGGGTATGGCCGTTCTCGACCGCCTTGAGCATCTGTTTGCACCATTCTGCAAACCACCGGCAGCCGAATTCTTGCAATGCGCCATACAGCGCAAAACACCAACATTCGTTGCGTTTTTTTGCATCTTCATCTTCGGTATTCGGTGCATGCAAGCCAAACAGGCTGCTGCCGGGGGGCAAGAACACGCACGCAGTGCTTCCTGCACTGTACGCGTCTTCTAGACCTTCTGTGGCCTCTTGGAGCTTATACGCCCGGTCGACCAACATCGCCCAGTCTTCGGTATACGCGCCGCAGAACGACACAACGGTCACCCGGCATCGACCTCGGTGGGGGTGCACGTGCCCGTAGAACGAGACACGCCGCCCACCCGGCATGGCAAGTTCTACCGGCTCTGATCTACCCTGACGTTGTTCTCATCTTGAGCCGGCAGGCCCTATGTTAAACAAAAAACATCGCACGGCCGTCCAAGCCCACACTGACAACGTGACATACGCCGTACGCTGCATGCAACCGATCTCTGCTACTTACTTGTGGCCAAGCAGTCGGACCACATGATTAGCTGCCAAGACTTTCTGCAATCTTCTCGCAATCTTGCAGGAGACTCCAAAACATCGTTGACTTGTGTTTGGCTTGTATTGGTTTTGTTGCGGTCCTTAGCGTCGATCGTTCCACCCTTGTCAGTTCGTCAATCCCAACAGGAAGCTTCAACGAAAAGGACTATATACTTAAAAGGAAAGGAAACCCGAGTGGGCCGGAGCCATAGAGAGCCACTGTGGAGATGCAGAATTCGCGAAGCCACTTAGCCTGTCCATCCCGATCTCAGGCAAAAGGCCTTTGCAACAGGAAAACGCTTCCGCAGCTCTCCCTCTCTTCTTCACTCCCTTCCCCTGAATTCTTTTCGTCCTGTCTTTCGAGGTGATTCATGTCATGAATCTCAGTCTATTACACCAAATGTTTGAATCAAACATGTGAGAACCTGACAGTGAAGCTATTGAAGCTCACGTGTCCAGAATGGAGAGATGGCCAAGGAATCTGCGAATCCCGCGCCAACAAATGGAGCTGATCTCGACAAATGATTGTCAAATCAGTGCTAAATATATGCAACAATTTTTTAATCGTTTCAAGAAACTGATTCCTTCTCCGGTCATTTCAAGACACCTGCAGTCCGGAAAACGGACGATCATATCCTCGGCCGTGCAGGCCTCCCAAGGCCCCATCCAATCTGAAAGCAAGACAGCTGACTCGTGGTGAACGCAAGCAGTAAATGTGTATTATCAATCAAATTCTACAGGGCGATGGAGATTCTTGATGTATTCTGAGAGGGCAGTGATGCGAGGGATGGAACTTCCGTTGATCAAGAGACTCCATGGAATGTCTGACAACGAGAAATTTGTCGTTGCGAACTCAAACAATGAGAAAGCAACTCTAATTGATGCGCCCGACTCTCACTTAGACTCTTAGACCAAGTGACTGAGCTCATCATATCTTTGGGAGATGTCCTCCCAAGGCCCCATCCGATCTTCTGAAATCCAAACAGCTGACTTGTGGTGAACCCAAGTATGTGTGCATTTTCATTCAAGATGGTGAGGATGCTTGTTCCAACTCACTTACAACCGAGAAGTGCTCACTCTTCGTACCGGAAGTGCCTCGCTCGAATTTCGAGAAGTGAGCCCCGTGAGCCACGTGTCACCGTCGAAGGTCCCGGACTCACTTCGCATCGTCTTAGACTCTCCTTGACGTTCATCGCTTCGATGAGATTCGTTGTCCAAAACAACAACAGAACTGTTCTGCTTCGATCGTTGAACTGCTTCGATCGTTTTCTGCGATGCTCAGGTCCAAGAAGTGGATATTCGGGTACGCCGCAGCTTCGTTCATTCGGGTGCGCCTGTGAGCTCTCATGGTTTCTTGCCATCATCATATATGGCGCTGGCTTGGAGCAACAAGAACAGCATTGGTTTCTCAATTGAACCTGGAGAGCAGCCTAAACAGGATCTAGAAGCCGCAATAAGACGTCAAGAGCAAGACCAAGTTTGGAGATCCCCCAAAGCAGTCCGGATTCCCTAAATGAGTGGCGAAATTGGATTGAAGATTGGAACCTGTGGGACCTTGGAGGCACATCAAAAGAAAAACACTTCCAAAGGCGAAAGTGCCCAAGATCGTCTGAGGTCACCTGGCCTCTTTCGAACACATCGCCTGTCTTCTTGGACCTTTAAAGCAACACTAGTAGCAAGTTCACACTTGTCTCCACTGAAGTTTTGTTTCACGGGGACTCCTCCGAACTTCTCATTCCAACAACACAGCCTGGGGCTGATGCAAAACAGGAAACTGAGTATCTGAACAGCTTCTTTTCAACGGATGCCTTGAATCTCTCTAGAACATTCTAGAACATCGCGACTGATATCTGAGGGTCTCAGAAGAAAGGCGGTGTCTAAACCTTCGCGCTGCCCATCACTGTCCTTCCACCTCAGAGGCAGCTTCCACCTCTTTTTGATTGGTCGAAACATCAACCTCTCGGCGCTAAAGGACTCTTGAAGATATAGAAACACAAGAGGCGGCACAAGAGGCAGACAATGGTTCTTGGATTCTCGCCCAGCAGCTTCTAGTGACTATCTCAAGCTTGAACTAGTCCTAGAAAGCCTCACCTTTGGGTTGCAGGGGGGTCTTCAGTCTACCAACGGGTGCTGAAACGTCTCCCACAGGGTCCAATCGAAAACGAGCACCTTGCTTCTAACTGACGAGCCACCGTGGCACCTGCGAGTTCGAAAGCCCCGCCTGCGGTGCCACGGTGCCGATCCAACGGCACAAAAACCGAGTCAAGGCAATCCAGATATTTGTGCTTAAAAAGCAAGGGGAAACACATGATGAAATACTTCAAGTGTACAACATGTTGTAAATGATTTTTGAGAAGCTAGGAAGCTCGGTCTAAGTTTGGAAAGCCAGGAAATCGACTCATTCTGGCCAACAATCAAAGCAGGGAAGCTCTTGGATTCTTGCGATGGACTCCCAGACTGGTGCTACGACCTCAGGATGTTGACCCACTTATTTCAGAAGTCTGCCGTCACTTTGTTTGCATTGGTGGATTTGAAGAAAGGATGAATTGGGATACCAACCCGACCAACCTGCAGTTCCCGTTTCGCGCGAAGCACAAACAATGTGTCGAAACCAAAACACTGATTCCTCATGCATTGGCTGCATTGGTGTAATAAACATCGCGTTGGCAGAGTCTCCCCACCTGGAAGTGCCAGGGAAACAAAGGACGTTGGCCGTTGAGGTCCAGGATAAAGCGAGCTTCCAATGTTGCCGTGTGCGTGGTATCGATGGCTTCTTGAGACATAAGAACCTCGGGAGCGGCAAGAGCTTCCGTGCAGTCAGTCACGTTAGGTACTGAGCAATGACGGACAGTTGGTTCAACATCTGCCTCAAAGGCTGACCACAAGAGTCACAAAGAACTCCATTTTCTTGTCATAAAGAATTGAGCTACGAACCTCCCAGTGCACCGTGCCCCAAAGGACTGTTCTGAACCTCCAACCTGGTTTGTTCGTGCTCACTTCATTGCTACAGATTTTCGCGAAGCAAACAACCTCAGCTTTGGGCAAGACATTGGCCTCCCCAAAATGTACATGTTCTCTCCATATCTGCCCAATGATCTTTTTCATCCGCCAAAATGCCATGCACATCTCCAACCTTCCTATGGCTTTATTCTAAAGTCAATTCATTGGTCAGGCCTCTCTTAAAAAAGTGGCGTTTCTCTGCGATTCTGCTGGGCCAGCAGGTTTACGATGGTTTGCTGGTGTAATGAGACCCCAAACTGAAGAGCTCGCTTTCGTTTTCCGACGTAGCTCCCTTCTTGCAGGTGTCATCCAGCGTTTCAAGGATGATCCAATGCAGAAGAGTTTCGCCGATCGTCGAGTGGCGGAACAGAGCATGAAAGACAGATCTGAGAAATCTCCTAAGATCTTTCGGTTTGCTGGGCATTGTGAGTCCTTCTCTCCCCAAAAATTGAAGCATATGTAACATATTGTAAAATTCATTTGGCTTCGGCACAGCGAAGTCAACATTTAAAGTCAACACCGGAACGGTGAATATCTGCACATGAACAGCATTGAACAGCATAACATCTGAGAATAAGCTTCAATTTGCGAAGCCAAGGCGCTGTCAGAGTTCACCAAGGCTGTTCCGAAATCGAACAAAGGCGCCGCGGAGCTCTTTGCTTGCACTGGCAGCTAGCAAGAACCAGAGTGACCAGAAAGTGACCAGAGTCGACCTCCCAAGCAGCGACCAAGTCGCACTTCTTCGAAGCTGTCATTCCCGCCCGTCAAGGCTCAAAAGCTGGACCTTTGAGCAAAGGCAGTCAATCTCAACGGTTTGGATCAAACATGCGCAGCCAGAGTAGCTCTGCAAGAGATCCCAATGACTCCCGGATGCACACCGTCTGAGTCTCGATCAAAAATGATGGAAGATTCCGAGGTGACCCAGCCAGGTGTGTCTCAAGCAAAAAGCACGTCACTCTCTCTTGCTTAGTAAAGCTCTTTGACCAAATGGCCGACAAACACCCGACACCAAACCGAGTTCATGGATGCATCAAACAAGATCTTTCATAGGTCTGCCCGTTTCGATCACCAAGCGCAAGATTGGCCAAATGATAGAGATGCTCTGTGCGAAAGCCCGCACAAACTTTGGTGTCAAAACGAGGTTGCAAGGATTGCTCATCATTCGCGGCAAAGGCAGGCGAGGCGGCGTGTGGTGCAAGCGGAGGAAGTGAGGTGAATCCAGGTTGGCTGGAGCGACTGAAGGTGGACGGATAGCTGAGGTGGAACAGCGTGGAGCTTTTTCTGCTGCAGCTGCAGCCTCAGGCGAAAGCAAAAGAACATCAAAACTCACTTCCTTTTCAGCTCCTCCACCGTGAAAAAAAAGGTAATAAAAGTTGGGATCATTTGGGGACCATGTGAACCGTTATGGATCCCTCCACATCTGTTTCAGTTACCTAGTGTCCTCGAAACAACATGTCACTTAGGCCCGTCATGAACAGCTGGAACCCGTGCGCAAACACCGAGGCGCTGGAGTGCCGCTGGAGTGCGTCCACCATGCCTCCTCTTTCGAATGCTTCATCCGGACCAGTGGGCCTCTCCGGAGCAGGCCCAAAAGAGTGACACCGAATGCACCGACGAGACGTGGGTGGGGGCTGGAACCCTAGTGAGCCATTAGTGAGCCACTCGACAAAGTGGTCCTGACTCAGGTGTCACAAGCCAACTGCCGATCTTTTGGACACCCAAAAATTTCGCAGCTCCCCTGCCTTAGGCGGGTCCTGGAGCGCTTCCTGTGGGAAATTCGCCAAACGTTGCTCTTTGTTGATTTCCGAAAAGGTGTTCTTCTTTGATACAACCGCCACTCCAGAGCTGTAATTATCATGAAAGCAGAAGCAGCTTAAACTTTCGAGGGCTCTCTTGGCAATGCCGCGAATTCAACGAGTCTCTGGCAAAGCAAATGAAGATTTTGTTTAACTTTATAGAAACAACATGAAACCAACCACCCGGCAACACCACCCCAAAAAACAGGTTTACAACGATGAGAGCGCCCCTCGACCAGGCCAACATCTAGGTCAATCCCAAGAAATTCCAAAGGAAAGGAGTGCAGCTGAGTTGTGTCTGGGAAGTGTCTGGAAGTGCCAAAATCACCAACTCCAAAAGTACAAATCCCCAACTCCTGGCAGCGCCGGAATCATCCAGCTCGATGTCAGGCCTCGAAGCCACGCGATGTGGGCACATCGTTTTTGGGTTGATGACTTCATGAGTCGCCCAAGTTCCAATAATTTCTTAGATGTTTGAAGCTGAATGAAATGACCGTTTCAAGTTTCAAGTAAAATTGGGTCGAGAACTCAACACGAGCACAGGTCTTCAAGTGACTGCAGCTTTCGGAAAGCACATCAACCCTTTGATGTCCCGCACGGGCATCTCAAGGCTGCCCTGGCCACATTGTGTTTCAAATGTCGAACAGGAAGGAAGGAATGTTTGGAGCAAAGAACAGGCATCGCTACTAGGGAACGTTCGGACGCTACTAGGGGCTCCTGGCATCGCTACTGGGAGCAATCAAGTCATCTACTGCTCTTTGATCCGGTCCTCAGCCTGAGAAGGCTATTTGCCCATGGTATTAGGTGGACATTAAAAGCTGGCTGGTAGGTAGGTTCCAATTGCGTGTAAATGCTTCGATGGCAAGACCAAGCATCCCAGAATCGAATGGACACACATCATTTCTTTGGATCTGTTCAGCTTCTTTCATTCACCAGCTTCTTTCGTGTGAGCTACAGGAGGGGAGGGTGGGTGGCGTGGTCCGCTGCGACTCAGAGTTCCAACCCACTTTGCGGCACCTCTTCTTCTGGGTCCTCACTTCTTGCTTCTGCATCGGAAGAGTGTCGATGCAAGCCCACCAGCTTCAAGCAAAGAAGTTGAATTCGATTGAACTCATCTTTCATGATCTTTCCATATTCTTGATGCATCTTGATGCATTCAAACAAACATCTTCACTCAGCATCTTGCCGTGTGAAGCTGGCCTCGCAAGAAGGATCCCGTCGGGCATCAAAGATGATCCATCACCGGAGCCAAACGATGTTCTATGATGTTCTCCCAAATCCCATGCAAGTGAAGTTCTTCGCAGATCCATCGATTATTGATACTCCGAAGTGGGTCATTCTCGGTTCTCCGCATATGAGTCCCTGAGCGAGGCACCGTGTGCACGGAGCTGAGGCCTCGCGGCAGAGCCCGAAGGCGCCCGAAGCATGGGGTGCAGGGTCCGCCGAACGCGGCATCTTTGCCGTGAGAGCTGGGGGAAAGAACACGGAATGGAATGTTCATGTAATGTTCATGTGTCAGGTATGTTACGGCATGTTCAAACAATGGGAAGGGGATTTACAAAGGAGTTTGGGGAGAACTCTTCCATCTATCTCTCTGTGTTGCATCGTGTTAGCCACATCTGCTGGGTTCCTGCAACCATCACGCGCTCATCGCCGCACAAGAGTGTTTTCCCCCCTCAAACGGTCAAAGGCCCCATGATATGTCAAGTCAGTCCCTATCTGCAGGGCCTTATCATGACATGGCACGTGATTGCACACGAAACATACGTCATGATCGCTGCCGAGCCTCAGAATAGATTTTTCTGGTGAGACTGCTCAGGGCAACTTTGCACAGTATGAAAAGCCATGCCCTCTTCTTTTCCTCAATCGCCAATAGACATTTTGCACAATGCTCTTCTACATGTTTTATTAGTCTAAGCAAGATACGTGCAAACCATGTACCTAGCTCAAACGAGGGTCGCGGCCCTTTTGCAAAATGCGGAATGGCTCTGTGCGCACCTTGTGCCGTGACGGCGTCGGGACATTTGACTCATGAGGAAGGGATCTTCTTGGGGCTTTGACTGAACTTCACAATTAGATCAAAAAGGGCGCACCCCCACTGGCCTTAAAGCAGGGCGTCGATGACCCCTCAAATGAAGCTGATCAACCATCTGCAACCCACCAAAACACCCTTCTGATGACAATCAAATGCACAAGAATGAAGAACTGAAGAGTCCAGGTGTTCAATCAATGACGCGTCCCAAGAAACTACTCCTCCCTCTCTTTGAGCGCGCGGCAGAACAAAGGAAGTGTATTCCTCCAAAGGGCCCTTCCCCTGTCCCCAAAGGCCATCTTTGTTTGCCTTGAGCCAAGAATCTGTGATCATCCCTTGGTTCTCAAGGTGTTCGCCCAGGACTCATGTCGTCTTCACCATCTTCTCTTTCTACAGACTTGACCATCATGTTCCCCGCCCAATTCACGAAATCAATTTTGGCCATCGCCCAAAATAGAACCAAATACCACCGGGCCATCCTTGTTCTCCGAGGGGCGCCAAGGAAACCATCAGTTGAAGGCACACCGATCTGAACTCAATGATTTGTTCCTTCACCCAGATGAACCAGACCCGATCAGCGCCCGAGTTAAGACGGTTATACAGTAAGTCACCCGGGCGAAGTCAGCTTGCCCGGCCACGAAAACGCAGCATCCAAACGACTTACCAAACCAGTGAAGAAAAGCACTTCAACAAAAACACATCAATAATTACTATATGTTTAAAAAACAAAAACCTATGGAGCAAGTATTGTCCATATTAATCTTAAAGGTAGAATCACTTTATAGACCAAAGACCAAACGACTCCCAGCCATAAGGAGTGCCTTGAAGGCGCGTCGGGGGGGCGCTGCCCCGAGTGGGTCCCGGTCGAGTCGTCACGAGCCGAGCCTGTTCGCTGCAGGAGGAGTGTGTTCTTTCATGAGAAACCTTTCAAAGCAATATCAAACCAATCAAACCAAGGAGCTGATCAGGATGGTTTCCATGTGTTTCCATAGTAGTTTTTGGGCAAGTCTTCCTACACACACCCAAATGACTGGCAAATTACAATCGAAGAATGAACCAATCTTGTGGATTCGGTTGAAACATGCATCCGTGCGGACACCTAAGACTCAAGACTTTTAACCCAACCTGCCACGGCCTCACCCAGAATATAAACTACAAACCGCTGATTTCGATCTTTCGCTTCCCCTAAAAAAGCAAGAAGCTCCCCTGCGATGCCATCGGAGCATGGAACCACCTGCACCTCCTTTTGCCACGTGCAGCGCGCGACTCTTTAACGAGCGAGTCGAAAAAGACTCAAGTCCGATTAAGCCAAAACCCCAAAAGGAGGTCAATCCCTTCCCCTGTCGTCTCCTATCGGTACAATCTGCAAGTGGTTTTAAGCCATGTCTACAAAGTCTTTTGAAGCACATGATCTCAGAAAGAACCCCCAAATCAATTGGTATCATTGCAGCCCCGTCATGTTTAATTCTATTTTTCAACTGCGTGTGCGGTTGATCAAGCAGGAGGGAGGGATTACTGTACCAAGGCATCTTGCCTCTTGGCCACTCTTAGGCCGCCGATACTTGAAAGATCAAAACGACCACTGCCTGCTCCTGCGCACAGGAATCAATAGGCCGGCATGCGGCATACCGTTGAATGGACAAGTTCACACTTCCTCAGAAACAAAGGAAAGTACATCTTCTTGGGAAACTCTGCATGTTATCATATGTTGCTGACAGCTATGTATTTAGATGGGCTATAGACATCACCGGAAAGCAACACGGTATACTTGCCTCCGCCCACCATCTTCAAATCCCCCTGCGCAGTGCAGGGCGGTGCTATGCAACCGACCTACAACATCGGTCGCGACTCGGCCAGGAGCATCGCCACGGGCTGCTTTGTTTTTCCTTTTTTTGTTCCATGTGTCTTCTGCTTTTTGAGTTTTTGGAGGATTTATGTAGCTGATGGGATTCAGAAGGCCTGTCCATGATCATGGGTCTCTTTGGAGGACTTGAAGTTTTTTTAATCACCAGCCGGTCTAACTATGCTTAAATCATGGCTCAAACCTGCAGGACCTGGGTCTTGTTGGAAACATGATGCTAACCGCAAAAGCACATTCTCCATCGCCCGAGAAACGGCCAAAGAACGACATTGGATGAGAGCGGGGAGCCGGAGCCCCTTTTTTTCTTTTCTCAAGACGTCAACACCACGACTTGATCCGTCTGAACTTTTCTGGACTCCAATTCAAAGCCACGGATGAAATGCAAATATGATTCTACATTTGTCCAAATCTTCTATGTATAGCTGCTGATCAGATCCAAGCTTTGAACCGTCCTCATCTTTTCAACATCGAAGTTGACCGATCACATGACTCACCCTCCCGACAAAAGATCTTGCCCCAAGATAGTGCAATAAGGAGCTGAGAATTTCATGCCATGAAATCATGATCAAAGATCATTGATGCGCACTGCGGCCATTTTCCTTTAAGGGCGGGCCGCGCGACGTGGCCATATGGCTATGTGGAGGAAGCTCGACTAGCTTCCTGAGACGCGAGCGCTGAAAAGGCGCGATCTACTTCTTGCCGGACTTCGTTTGCTGGCCACTTGGAGATCCACTTGTTTTACCACCTCCTTCCACTTCACCTTCAACCAACCTCCACGTCTACTAGACCCAAGCTACCAAGTGTTGATCTCAACAGGAGCTGATGGAAGCTGTATGAAGCTCGAAAAACAATTAATATATACCTTGTTGGTTGGTGTGCCTGTGCATTACACATCGGTGTGTGGTGACACCGCAGTGTGGTTTGGCCTGTCGAGAATCCAGAGCAACGACATGTTGAAAACACATCCTCCTACAATGACTGCTTGGCCAGCATTTTATAAGAACTCATTGATGGGTGATGAAAAACACAAGTCCAGTCCACCTTGAACACACACGCGTCGGATCCGCTCCAACTAACGCCCGGATCCGCTCCAATGGCCGGCCGACCCTGGGACAAACGCCAAGGCTGCTCACTCTGACCAAGCGACCGGAGAGATCGGAGGAGCGGTACCACCCATGTGCTCTACAACGGGACCACCCATTATGACGCTCTTGATCTATCAAGCAAGCCCAAGTGGACTGAACGTTTAAGTCAATGAGTTTTGGTTGAGCATGGACCTGAAAAAGCCTGGAAGGACTTGAGGCCAAGGGGGGGGCGAAAGCTAGCGCTCCAGAATGGGAAAGTGGAGGGCAGCGAGGTAGGAAAAAA